ATACGCGTAGTTCTTACCCTGGACCAAACGAAAAGAAACGCCAAACTACGAGGGGAACTCGAAGATCTCAAATCAAGATCTAAGTCCTCTCTCTCTCTCCGATCTCAGATAGTGCAAACAAAAGAGAAGCTCCCCCCCCCCTCTAGGGGAAGGTCTCTGTAAGGCATCTCCCACGTCCCTGATACGAGCTCCGGTCAGAAATCGGCACGGAGAAATCTCGAGCCGAGAGTCGCCTCAAGACAGCCTATATACCCTGGTTGGGAAGACAACGGATAAGCCGCTCAAGGTCTCGAATCCAAAACGAGCTTCAGAACTCAATACCCATAATATGGGACTCAGGCCATGAGCCTTCGTCATCAAGATCGACACAGTTCAACAATAGTTGAACTGGGACTCAGGCCACGAGCCTTCGCCATCAAAATCGACAGAGTTCAACAACAGCTGAACTGGGACTCAGGCTACGCGCCTTCGCCATCAAAATTGACCGAGTTCAACAACAGTTGAACCAAGACTCAGGCTAAGCGCCTTCGTCATTAAATCTAGGCTATGAGCCTTCGCCAGTAAGTTCAACTACGGTTGAACCAAGACTCAAGCTAAGCGCCTTCGTCATTAAATCTAGGCTATGCGCCTTCGCCAGTAAGTTCAACTACGGTTGAACCAAGACTCAGGCTAAGCGCCTTCGTCATTAAATCAAGGCTATGCGCCCTCGTCAGTAAGTTCAACTACGGTTGAACCAAGATTCAGGCTACGCGCCTTCGCCATCAAAATCGACCGAGTTCAACAACAGTTGAACCAAGACTCAGGCTAAGCGCCTTCGTCATTAAATCTAGGCTAAGAGCCTTCGCCAGTAAGTTCAACTACGGTTGAACCAAGACTCAGGCTAAGCGCCTTCGTCATTAAAACTAGGCTATGCGCCTTCGCCAGTAAGTTCAACTACGATTGAACCAAGACTCAGGCTAAGCGCCTTCGTCATTAAATCAAGGCTATGCGCCCACGCCAAGAAGTTCAACCACGGTTGAACTGGGACTCAGGCTACGTGCCTTCGCCATCAAAATCGACCAAGTTCAACAACAGTTGAACCGGGACTCAGGCTATGCGCCTTCGCCATCAAAGTCGACCAAGTTCAACAACAGTTGAACTGGGACTCAGGCTACGCGCCTTCGCCATCAAAATCGACCAAGTTCAACAACAGTTGAACTGGGACTCAAGCAATGAGCCTTCGCCACCAAAATCGACTAAATTCAACAACAGTTGAACTGAGACTCAGGCCATGAGCCTTCGCCACCAAAACCGACTAAGTTCAACAACAGTTGAACTAGGACTCAGGCTATGCGCCTTCGCCAAGAAGTTCAAATACAATTGAACCATGGCTCAGGCTACGCGCCTCCAATTTGTATCAAGCCCATACGCCTTCGCCAGTAAGTTTAGCTACAGTCGAACCAAGACTCAGGCTACGCGCCTTCGCCATCAAACCGAGTCCGACCTCGCTTGAACCATAAGGCTAGACGCCTTCGTCCTCAAATCTAACAAGTTCAACCACAGTTGAACCAGGACTCGGACTAAGCGCCTTCATCGTTGAACTCAGCGAAACCCTACCTCCAACGAATTGAGGCACAGGTTAGGCGCCCACGCCCTTCAAGTAAGTACTCCCAACTCAAACTAAGATTGGGGACACGTAAAGTTTGGCCCCGGTCAAACTACAAGGCGCGTTTCTGTCATCACGGCCGACAGTTCGACCGCGCCCGAACTGGGACTAAGGCTAAGTGCCACTATCGCCAAGCAACGGCTCCGACTCGCTCACCCCGAGTCGAAGAAGAAGAGTCGTCAGCAATTAAAAACTAACATGCCTACCAGAGTCGAACTCGAAGGCAAATCACCCCTTTGAGCGCATGCAAAGAAAAATCTAAAGGGGAAAAAGAGGAGGTACAAAACAGATACAAAGCAAATAACGGAACAGAGATCTCATTTATCCACGAAATTAATTGCGGGTCATCCCTGCTTACACCCGGCCAAGGCCGATCAATACAAGGAAAGAGAAAAAGAGAAGAAAATATGCATAACATCTTTTTACTCGGCGCCATCTGCGCCACCATCTGCACCAGCGTCAGCCTCTGGCGTCGCCACGTCAAAACCACAGTCGGCACGGGCCTCACGAGCCTTTTGACGCGCCCCCTCGAAAGCAGCTTCGGTCACGACGCCGGCCTCCCACAAATTCTTATATACATCACGTTGGGCCTCGGCAAAGACCCAAAGTTCTCGAGCCTGGCTGGAAGAAGCGGCTTGATCCCGTAGGCGCTGATTCTCTTCTTCTAAGGCTGTGATCCGGTCCGCCATGACTTGGGCGTCCTGCTCAAAGACACCGATCCGCTCCTCGAGACTCGCTTCTCTAAAGGCCGCAGCATCCCTCTCCAATGCCCGTTGGGATTCGTGCACGCGGATAGCTTCCTTCAACGCCCCAGCCCTCGACGAGGCATCCCTCACTTGAAGCTTCAATACTGCGACTTCACCCTCCAACGCAGTCACTTTCACGCTCCATGCCGCAGCGGCCTCCGCCGCCTTAGCCTGGCCCTGGCGCTCACGCTCAGCTGCAGCCCTTCTCTCCGCCTCAAGCTCCTCATCCTTTCGCCGGAGCTGCTCCTCGAGAGCACTCGCTCTGCCAAATGCTTGCTGCATCTGTACCTCCCGTCTTGCCAGTTCCTCGACCAAGGTCCGATTACGGGGATCATTCCTCAAGCGCATGCGCATCTCTCGGCACCGATCACGGTAGCGGTGGTACTTCTCCAGCGCCCGCAAAAATATCCCCGAGCGGACGTTGGCTCGACGGATGCTCTCCACCTCCAACAAATAAGACTGCAAAGCAAAGACAACGATTAAGATAAAGTTCAAACTAAGGCAAAGAAAAAGCGAACCGACATTATATTACATACCCTCAATCCCATCACAGCCACTTCGTTCATCAGTCCGACATCCGTGACGCCCCTCAATAATGCGTTCTCGGCCTCCGAGCACAGCAGCTCAAACTACGGGACCAAGCTACTCCCCTGGAGCAATAAGTTCAACTCCGTGGGAACCTCAATGAAGCGAGATCGCCCCTCTGCACGCACCGCTGAATTGGTGAAGCCTTCCTGGAACATACGGACGTCGTCGGGGTCCAAGTCGGATTCAGACTCGTACTCACCCTCTACAGCATCTCTTCCTCCTTCAGCCGCCAGCGAGGTGAAATCTCCCGCCGCAGCCGCCAAAAGAGTGCTTAACTCACCAACATCACCAGCCGCTGAGGAACTACCTCCCGTCTCAGCGACTGGAACCACCGACTGAGTCGCCAAAGCGACGGCATCCTCATGGCCTAAGCCAGCCAGG